CAGGGAGATTTAAGAGTGCACAGGGCTAGAGAGGCTGCTGGAGCACAGACCTGCCCTGAGTGATAAACCCTGGCTTCAAACCATCACCTCACCTGCCTCTGCTGGCCCCTGCCCTGCTTGTTCTTGCTGATCCAACATAGGTACACAAAAATTATGACAGTTTTAATGTCAAAAGATTTTCTGCACTACACTGGATTGAGTAAATAAAACTTCAGGAATCTGCAGTGCACATATCAGAAATAGACATTAAGTGTACTGAACAATTCTTGTGCAATGAGTTTGTTTCGACAGGAGGTAAATCAGCACAATTTCCAAAGGGAAGAGGAAGAGCCATCACTGACTGGTACTGTCTGAGCACTGCAAAAAGGAATTAAGAAGTCATTCACAAACAGGAAACCCCTGCTGACATTCAGCAGTCGAGTTGTTTGCAGAGTGCACCCATTGTGAAAAATAAAAAGCTTCACAAAAAGCATAGATGAGACATGGGGAAGTGAGAATACCAGAGCCAAGGAGGCTGAAGCAGCAGGAGATCAGAGAGTGCTGCAGAGCTCACTGGGGAAGCCTGGCTGATCCCCACTGGTGACTCTTCAGTCACTCACAGGTGGGTGGGCAGGAGCTTCTACCCCAGCATTTAAAGATGCTTTAAAGCCTAGGAGAGATCCAGCCTTGGGAACTGAGGAAGAGAGCTGTCAAAAACCAGAACAAGTCAACAAGTCAACACTTTCCTCAAGAAATGGAGGAGAAAGCAGTGAAAGTAAGATGCACACAAGTGCCCCAAGACAGCAGAGCAGAAGAACACATGCATTGAAGAGAGAAGCTCCACACCAAGTAACTGCAATCTGAAGGGAGCTCACACCAGGCCACAGGTCCTTGGCCTGCCTAACTTTTCTATTTCATCTTTTTTTGAGTCATCTGTTGAGAAAACTCTGTGCTCTACAGCACAATTTTGAATTCAACAGAAAAAACAAGGTAAAAAAACCTGACTGCAATTAAGAGGGTTGAATGTTACTACTTATAGTAATTAAAAAAATTACTATAGGTAATTTAATTTAATTTAAAAAAATTTGAATTGAAATGCATAGTTAAAATAAGGTATGGACAACGGGGCCAAATACCTTCGTGTAAGAAGAAAAGTTGTCAAAACACTGAACTACAGGCTCCTAAAATCTGTGTTTTCTTTTTTGGAAATCCATGACAAGCAATCTCAGGAGCCACTGAGACCAGTATGAGGTTAAGCTCAACTTCTGATGGCAAAGTACAAGCTCCATTATTTCACCCAGGAACCAGAATTATTTCACCATTCTTTCACCCAGGAACAGGAATTATTTCACCATTCTTTCACCCAGGAACAGGAATTATTTCACCATTCTTTCACCCAGGAACAGAATTATTTCACCATTCTTTCACCCAGGAACCAGAATTATTTCACCATTCTTTCACCCAGGAACAGGAATTGTGGATGCCCACTGAAGTTTGGTATCCAGCAACTCCAAGGAATGGAGGTGGGCCCTTGTGCCATGCAATGCTTTAATAGCAGAGGTGCTGCCAGTGCAGAATGATGGTTTACATTCTCTGTGGTGATGCCTTAGGAAAACATTCAGTTCATTCCTCAGTCTTCTGAGAACCCAAAGTCATGCATCAATCGCTAAAATAAATTAAGTTGCAGACTTCAGGGTAAAGATGCTCCTTACACCTCACAGCTCTCCTGTGACTCCAGCACCCAGTTATCCTACAGGGTGAAATGTCACATTCCAACACTCCTGAGTGTCACTGAATTCCTAGGATTTCCCACTTCAAAACCCTCTTTACTTGGAACATTTGCCTTTCAAGGATTCTGCAGCTGCCTGCACACACTCAGACAATTTAACTTCATTGCTCTCTGTGCAATAGTCTGCTCCTCTTTCCACACAACTGTCCTCTCTTGTATTTATTTCTTGTGCTTCTGAAACTCTCCAAGTTCTACAGGCTGAACTATTTTTACACCTCTACTTCCCCTGTTGTGCCCATTTCACAAACATCTGAAATTACAGCAGGATATTCCCATGGCTTATGGAGTGCCACTTCCCTGCACAACACAAGGAATTGTCTTCCCCAGCTTTGAGTTTCTAACTTTGGACAGCTTTATCATGACCTTGCTTTTATATTGAACTGCTTAGGCCATAAATGGACAAAAAAATTAATAGTGAGGAGTCTTCTACTTGGATTTTATATTCCAACTTGGTAAATAGCTGGCTTTAAGCAAAACACAGAACTTTAAATAATTCCAGGTATAAAAACCTCCTCTTGGTATCAGAACTCAAATGTGAATGTCTTCCTGTTCATTCCTCATAAAAATCATTATTGCAATAAGGACAGCCAAGAAGAAAATGTCAAGATTTTTCAGCAATTTAGAGCCATGTAATACTGGAACAGTGTGACAGGCTGGAGGGAGTTTACCTTAATTGTCCTATTTTAGCTTCCCCAGAGAAATGTTAGGCTGAGCTAGGAAGGCTCAGAGTCCCAAGCACATTTTTACCCAAATGTAGGAAGGTGTTTTGCTGAAACTGCCACCATCACCCCTCTGCTGCTGGACTCCATCTTGCTGTGCTCTGCACCATTAGTCATGCACCAGACAAAATCTCAGGAAAACATTTACATCAGAAATGAGTGGCACAGCATCAACAATGCTTGGAAAAACAAACCCTTTTCCTGGGTGAAATCAGAGAAAATGAGAGCAGCTAATACTCTCTGATGTGGAATACTTCCACGTGAATAAGTAGGTACAGGTAGAGGTTATGAGACAAAAGAGTTGAGAACAGTTTACTCTAAAAATGGGAGGAGTTTTTACCCAAACAGAACTAAAGGAAGGCAGATGAAAAAGGGTTGTAACAGAATGATAACTAGCTCTTTTTAGAGAAGGTGGATGCAAAGGCAGGAGAATTAAAAAGAAAAGAGGAAGAAAGGACACAGCAGTAATTGGTGTCTCTCTCAGCTAGAGAAATGACCTGTCAGGTAGGGCTGAGAGCCAGATACAACTCAGGCATTCAGCACTGAGCTTTGGAGACAGAGCCTCTTGATGTTCAGTTTCAGGGTGTAATTCTGGCAGCTAACCCTTCCATCTCCCTCAACCAAAATGATGGAGAGAAACCATCAAAGAAGAATGAACAATATCTACTCTACAACCTTAACGAAGCCCAGAAAGCCAAAAGATTACAATAAATGTTCCAATCACTGCAACGTGGCCTGGGAAGTTGCAGAGAGGAAAGCACATCAGAAATGCTTCTGAGTTCTGTTTGAAAGCCACAGAATGCCTGAGTTCTTCCCAGCATTGTCATTCCTACACCAGGCTCCTTAGCAAGCCCCTAAGAGCTTCACAGAGGATTCAGTTTTTCCTCCCCTGTTGTCTCTAGGCACAAACCCAAATTACTCCCTGCTGAGCAAGCCAGACAAGACATCTCATGACACCAGGCAACTCCATTCTTTTGCTTCCCAAGGAGAGTAACAAATGTAATTTACACACAGACTAGGCCATTCCTTCCTCATCACTCCCCTTTTCTCTTTTCCCTTCCTAAGGCAATCTCCCCTGGAACTGTGAAAAAGGAAAATTAGACAATACAACTGCTAGATGTTAATACAACTGCTGATACTAGATGTTAAATTTCAGTTTTGTTCTCTACTCAGAGATTAGCAAATTGGGAAAACCTATTTCTCCCTAACTTGCTCTTCACTGCTGATGAATTCAGACTATGTGCATTCAAATAACAAGGCTGATTACCTAAGGAAAGAAATGACATCCAAGGAGTACAAAGACAAAAACTTTACAAAGTCACAACTCCAAACTAAGAAAACCTCCTGTCCCACAGATCTGGACACTATCTCCACTGTCTCTTCATGCATCATTTTCCACAATACCTGGTTTAGATGTGGTTCATTCATAACTTTATCTGGGCTCCCCTGACTTGTCAAAGGCATTTTGTGAGTAGTGCTGGGCCCAGCCTTGTAAACAGATGGAGTGAGCACAGGCAGCAGCAGATGCTTTTTCAGCCAGTGCTTCTGCTAAAGCTGCAACAAAGTACAGCCTATGGCAGGTGCTGTGCCACCTTAACATGCACAGTGTCCCACAAATATTGCCAGCCACCTCCTTGGGCAAGTCTGAAATTGGGTCTGATCTTACTTCACTCCCCAAAGTGGATCAGTATTGCCCAGCACAGAGATTTCTTTGTGTGCTAACAAGCCAGCCTGCCATGACAGCACTAAAGCAAATGACAGCATTCTCATTTGTTCTTTCCTCATCTAGGAAACTGTATAGGACCCATTACATAATACAGTCATCAACAAATCCCACAATCATGCTATAGAATAAATAACATTTGTTTGGCTTCTTCAGTCCTTTCCTGTGCTCTAACCTGGCACATAACCACACCAGGGCTATAAATAACATATTCCAACATTCTGGTCCTGTCAGATGCTTCTTTTCTGCAATATGCAACATAATAGTGATGATAAGCTAACTTTGTAGACCATGCAGAATCTTGTTCATCAGTGTTATGTAGCTCCACACTCACATATGCTGGGCAGTGAGAGCTGCACAGCTAATTATGTTAATCAAGCACTTCTAAGACAGATTTAGGCTGCTCACCAGTTTATTTTAATTGTAATCACCTTACCTTACATCTTTTTAAATGTTAAAAGAAATGGATCCTCAACTCATTGAAGAAAGCAAAATAATTTTCATTTTAATGCTGCTAGACACTTCAATTCTCTAAAAGAGATGACTATTTCCAGGCTGCTATTTCATGATTTCACACACAAGTAACATGGAGTGGTCACTCTTTTAATCCATCCCATAAATTAAAGTATTGATGATACAGATCCACTTCAGGATCACAACAAAAACCTGTGTAGCCTCTCGAAGGTGGTGCAGTGATGAGAAAAGGGGACAGAATCAGAGCTCAGGCACTACCTCAGCAGGTGGAATCTGATCAGAGGGGGCCAGAAGGAGCTCCCTGGCTGAGACTTACCAGGAGCAGCATCCCCCATGCTGGGGGCAGCCTCTGTGCCCTGGCCCCGCGGCTGCTCCGGCTCCCGCTGCGGCTCCGGCGGCACCGAGCACGCCGAGGATGAGGAGGATGAAGAGGAGGAGGCTGGCTTGGATTTGGAATGCAGCTCGTTCAGTCTCAGGAGGTTTTCAGGAGTCACAGTGTCTGCATTCACTGGGGTGGGATGCAGTGTGGCTGGGGCTACTGGGAAGAAGCTCTCCCGGGTGTCCTTCGGGTGCTTTGGGGTTGTGGGCGCTTCTCCTGTGGCCTGCACAGAAAAGGGGCAGCAGTGAGAAAAACTCTGCAGGGCACTGACTCTGTGCTACCTGCAGGCAACTCATCTCATGGACAGAAAACACTCTCTTTAAATGAATATAATAGAACAATGACTCAATCACTATTCCAAAGAAATCTTTTCTCCTTTATGGATTATTTTTCTGTTCTTTATTGCCTGTTTATCAAACTAGCACTTGAACACTTATTCACATTTACAAAGTTTAATTTAACACATCCCTCACAACATAACATGCTTCCCTGAACTCTGCAATTAAGCATGAGTTACAATCTCCTGTAAACAGAAACATATTTCTTTCATTTAAAAATACATTGACAAGTGCTTGACCTGAAAAAACAGATCTGCACTGCTTTAAGAGACTTTGCAAATTATCACAAGAAATAATTCTTAGTGAATGATGTGAGAAGAAATGGAGAAAATAGAAGAAGTATTCACTTGTGAAATAAGAGATGAGCATAACTCCAAACCATAAATTCCTGACAAGTGCAGAACTGAGAGCACTGAGGTCCAGCTGAAGCAGGCTCAGGCAGATCTGCTGCCTGTGCACAGCAAGAGAGGCACCAAGAGCAGTGCTCCTCTACAAAGCCATGCTAAAAATTGAGTGCAGTGCCATTTATTATACAGACAGAAGGTAGAAGTGGGACATAAATTCACCAAAGAAGGGAATAAAAGTCCCCATAAAATGAATATCTTCTCTATAACTTTTATCAGTAATCAAATAAAGTATTCTTGCTTGTGAGGCCACAGAAAGCATTTATTTTACACTCTCTACAGTTTTCAGTTAATGGAGATTTATTGGATCATAAAAGATGCAGTCAGATAGAATTCTCAGATGTTTAATTGTTTGCCTCATACCTCTAACAAGAAAAAAAACCCCCATTTTAAGCAGGGTGATAAGAGTAAGAATGTCTGAAACAGAAGCAGGATTCAGCTGTCAAATGTAAAATCAAATTGGACCCTAATGTCCTAGATGACCAAAGATTTATTACAAAGCCAGAAAAGTCAGTAGAATTTCACTGAGAGAACAGAGCAGCTTTCAGGTGGAGAAAATGCATACTTAAAATTCAAAGGTAGAGAGCACACAAGTACATTTAAAAAAAAATAATTGGCAGAATGTATTTTTGAAGTTCCTGAACTTGATTAATCAATCTCTAAAAAGCATACAATTAAAACCTGCCAGATTCTATGTGTACACAAAAAAAAAAAAAGAAAATTCAGCAGCTATATTCACAACAATTATAACAATTACCACACTGGATCAAAAAAGGTCTGTTCTGCCTCTGAAAACAGCAAGTTTCTGGTGCTTAAAGCATCAGTTCCAAAACTAAAGGTCTCAACACACAAATGGGATCACAGAAACCTGGAAATGGAACTGCAGGAGCAAGCCTCAAGCTAGAAGTGAGATCACTTGAGGAAATGTTTTCAGCTGTGATTTAAAGGGAAAGCCCTTCACACCCCTGCACTTCATTAACTTGCATAATGGGTGATGTAGAACCTGACATTTCTGTGCTTGTATTGTATCCAGATTTTCTTCTGGAGAAACACAGCAAGGTACAACTTAGGTACATAGATGTTAAAAATGGATCTGCACCTCAGATCTCTACAAAAATGCACAGCTATTTGCAGAGCCAGAAAAGGGACATTTAGAAAGTAACTCAGCAGTATTTGGATGGAATTCAGATGAAAAATGATTTGAGAGAGTGCAGAGGTCTCCAGTCCAACTTCCCAGCTCCATCAGCTCACTGGGGCCAGGGCCAGCCCAGCCCAAACACTGCCAGAGGAGGAGATTCCAGAGCCTCTCCAGGCCCCTTTCCAGTGTTTTACCACCTTCCCAGTGAACATTTGTTTCCAATCATTTCATCCAAATTTCTCTTGCTGCAACTTTAAATGGTGCCTCTTGTCTGGTTCCTTCCTTTCTGCTGAAAATCACAATTCTATAACCTTATTCTCCATTATTCTTCTCCTCACCAGGATGAAACATCCCAGCTCTTTTTCCAGAGAATTGAAACATTTTATTTACAAAAAAAAATTTATTTACAAAAAAATAATAAAGCTTTTAAAACAATTAAAAATAATAAAGCTTAAAAACCATTTTATTTACAAAAAAATAATAAAGCTTTTAAAAGAATTAAAAATAATAAAGCTTAAAAACCATTTTATTTACAAAAAAATAATAAAGCTTTTAAAAGAATTAAAAATAATAAAGCTTAAAAAACATTTTATTTACAAAAAAATAATAAAGCTTTTAAAAGAATTAAAAATAATAAAGCTTAAAAACCATTTTATTTACAAAAAAATAATAAAGCTTTTAAAAGAATTAAAAATAATAAAGCTTAAAAAACATTTTATTTACAAAAAAATAATAAAGCTTTTAAAAGAATTTTAAAATAATAAAGCTTAAAAACCATTTTATTTACAAAAAAATAATAAAAATACAAAAATAATAAAGAAACGTGATATTTCTGATTCAGGATAACCATGACCAAAAATTCTAATGTGTAGTCAAAAAGTGCAGCCTTATACAAAAGAAATCAACACCAAGATTATTGTGTTTATACTTTAAAGGGAATTTTCCAGATGTGGCCTGGTGAAGAGTTGTCTCAGGCTGCTGTAAACAGACAGGTTCTTTTCAACCCAATGAAACTGAGAGCTTGGGAGGAAAAACAAAAAAAATCACACACTGATTTTGGTTTTTTTTTTCAAAAAAGGTGGTGGGAGTGGAAAAGATAAAAGAGAAAGCTCTCTTTAAAATCAGAGCCAAGTACTAAAACCCCATTGTTGGTTACTGTGCACTCTGCAACTCCCAGAGCCTTAAGAAAAGGGATTGAAACCTGCTTTGTGTGTTTTGACTGCACTCAGGAACTGCAGCCATCCAAAAGCTGGAAGCACAAAGCCCAGATTGGAACCACAGTGAGGCCCAGGTTCTTTACAAGATTTGGGGTTTTGTGTAGGGCAAGAATGCCAGCACCTCTGATCAGAGCAGGTGATGCTACCCACACCAGGCAGCTCAGGGAATGCCACCAGCTCCACTGCTCTTATGGGGCCACATTTCATCATCCTGCAGATCTCCAGGAAAACAGCACCTAATAACACCCAGCTGAGAAAGAAACCCAGGAGAACTCAGCACAGCAGCCCTGGATTTACCAGAAGCCTTTTGTTCATCTGTCTCCACTGCTAAACCACCAGTAAGGCACAATAAAAATTGTTTTCCACAGCAGACAGTAGGAAATGGAGAGGCAGTGACAAACCTTCCCCAGTGTTTTATGTGGTTTCTCATCAGAAGATTATTTTTTAGCTTTTACTAAGCTGTGGTACTAAGCCAAATCTCAGTCACTTGTGACTCAGAACTTCTCCTTTTCCCCCCTCCAATCCATCTCACCACACTCAGTGCCTCTGTTACCACCACTATTACAGAGTGCCTTCAGTCACCAAGAAGAAATGAATATTTTCTAACATTTCATGTTACTTACAGCACATGTGAATAGAACTGAATTAAGATAAAATCTCTTATCTGATTTCTTCCTGTCTTTCATTGTAATTACAGGTTCCTGGACTTCCTTCTAGATTTTTTAAAAAGCATGAGGTCCTGAAGGGTTTGCAGCACTACTTTTGTATTGACTACTATATCAAAGTGGATGGAAGAAATATTTAAGGCTTATTATTAATATCCAAATGAGGTGTCATGGATGATCCACTGCTTCCATAAAGAGCCCACTATCTTAATTCTCTTTTAAAAACCTAGCAAAAACTGTTTTCATTTTGAAGAATGTAAAAAGCTGAAATGTAAATGAGTAACTAGGATGGATGCCTGTGTGAATATTGTGACTATTTCTGACTTAGGTTACAAAATCAGTCTCTTTATTTGTTAGAACCTGGACTATTTCAGCACTCTTCTCAGAGAGTTCATTCAGCTTCACAGCTGATGGACAAACCCTTCCCATGCTGAAAGCTGATGTAAAAACAAGTAAGGAAAATGCTGGAAATCCAGCACTGGGACAGCCTTTCTTTCACCAATAAAATTATCAGCAAAAGTGCAGAATTTTTTCACAGATGTTACTGGAAAAAATAGCTCCCTACAGTTTCCCAGAGAGGCACTTCAGCAGCAGCTAAAAGAAATCCAGCATTAAGATAAAACATGAGCAAAAATTTACTTTGCAGCCTGTGAAATCATAAACCAGAGAACCTGACCAAGGGTCTGTTTTTACCACACTTGCTGTTTTTAAAAAACACATTTTGAAAAACAAAGAAATCCTCCAGCAACCTTCCCACTCCTGCTTTGGGGAGAGCTCACTGCTCTGTGGCTGTGGGAAAAATTAACAACCAAATGTTCCAGAAAGGGAAAGTGACAGCTTTCCCAACAAAAGTTTCCTAATGAAAGATGCTGGAACTGCAACTGTTACATAACATTTTCTTGTGATTTCTTTTTTTTTTTTTTTTTTCAATTACTCCCATGCCTGAGTTTAGCACTCTAGTGGGACTGAAGTCAGGACCCACCTCACACAAAGGTGTTTATTTTTAAAGGACACCAGAACATCCCCTGTCACACAAACTGCCTGAACAATTTGCTGGCCACATTCCACAGCATTACCACTCCAACTTCTGCTCAATATTGTGTTTTAATTAAATTATGCCTGTCCATTCTTTTTTTTCCCCCCTCAATCTCTCTACAGCAGCATTTGAAATAAATAACATTTGGAAGTTTTCCTCTAGGTGCATCACAAATAGCAGCAATATCCATGATCAGGATCCTGAAGAACCTTTTCTTTCCCAAGACCACTTTTTATACAGAAAATAACAAAGGTTTACATACATAAGATTGAACTTTAGCCTAATTAAAACCCCCATTAACACAAATGCAAGCAGGGGCTCAGTGTCCTGCAGCCATACTACAGCAACACTTCCATACACAAAAACATCATTATTGCACCAAGAGAGACCAGGTAGCAGGATGAAAAAACATTAATATACAAAGTAAAAGCTAAAAAGTGTCTTTTCTTTCCTTCATGTTCACTTAATGATTGCTTTCTGCAGGAGACAGAAGGAGGAGAGCTGTTAATTATATCAAGAATACACCTCCAGGATAGAGTGAGAGGGGGATGCCATGGCAACTGGCAAATGCAACAGTGAGCAAAATGGTCACCCTTTGGTAGGAGACCATGAAAGAGCTCGTCCTTTTGTCCCCCCCATCCCCACCTCCTCCTTCCCCCTCCTTTCTTGTCATCTTTGCTGCATTAATAAAGCATACAGACAACTCAGGAAAAACAACTTTTTCTGTAAGCAGTCTCTGACGTCTTGATGTGCAGGAAGAAAAGATGAAAATTAGCAGCATGTGGGTGGAACAAAAAGGGGGAGAAAACACATGAGGTAGAAGATGATTATTTTCTAATTATTTAATATTCTCCTAATCTCCTCCCATTCCCAGCAAAGTGCCTTTACAGAAGGCTTTTAGCTGTTTCCTGAAGAGAACAGCTTGGTGGTTTGTTGCTTTGTGGGTTTTTTATAATGTGAGAATTTGAGAAGAAAACGCTCTAGACACCCAAGGCAGTTCAAAGAAGTCACTCTCAAGTTTTCTCCTTGAAGAAAAATGCCTGAGAGCCCATGTCACTGCAGTGCTGACTGCATTCCACAGCAGAAGGGGAAGAATCCATGGGAGTGCCCTCTAGCTTCACTCACAGCAGAAAATGTTTTCCTTTCCAAGTGCAATATCACATTCCCTGAGAGGTCCCATCAGCAGAGCCCTGCTCCAGAGTCCATCTGAGCTTCTTGTGTGTGGGTTCAGCACAGCCCTCACAGATCAAACCCACCAATGACCCCAGAAAACTCTTCAGTACGAAATTGTGAATTCAGACTACTGATCACAGCCCTGGGAAGGAGTAAAAACTGGTGGAAGGAGAAAACAAGACCTCAGTTACCTGTTCTGAACTAGAGAAGGGCAGGAAGAGCACTAAAGCAGCACATTTATACTACAACACTTCTATATAAAACAACACTTTTCTATCACAACAGCAGCAGCAGAACTTTATAAAAATCAGGGATCACCCTGGCAGCCTGCCAGGAGCCTGAAAGGTTCATTTGCATAACCTGATTGTGTTTGTAATAAAAGTCATTGTTTTGATTCTGGTAGTAGCTTCATGAAGCATCACTTTTAATTAGAGCTGACACTGAAATCTGCTGATGTGTTTTGACTGGAGGTTGACAGAGGGAAATGGGGAAAGCACCTGGAGTTTGGCAGCAGCCAGGGGGAGAAGGTGGCCATGGCTGTGCTCCTGAGGAGGAGGCAAGTGAAGCAAAAGGTGAAAGGGAGAATTTGGGCAGCCAGAAGCAAGCAGGGAGAGCTCAAGGCCTGGCAGATGGAGCAGCAAAGAGCAGTTGAAAATTTCCTTTCTCTCCCCGACACTTCAGGGATGGAGTTGGTCCCAGAGCAAGGATTTTTTGGCTAAGGCAGCAGTGAGTCTTAAATAACTCAGCAATGTTGAAATAGCCCCTTCTCATGACATTTGGATGATATACTATACCTTGAAGAGCCAATAGAAATTTCAGCTCCTACAACACCACCCGTTACCAGGGCTTCCTACAGAGCCCCAGATTCTCAGGGGTCACAACCCAGGACCAGAGACTCAGTGGCATTTTGGAACTTGGCCTCTGAACACTCTTGTATTTTTAGAGATGTTAAATCCAGCCCTGCGTGCAATGTTGATTTTTACAATGTTTTAAAGTATTTGTTTTCTATAAATTCAGTTCTCAAGATCAGTGATACATTAGATCCCAACACACAACCACAGAGTTTTAACTGTCTTGACTTTCAGCACTGGTGAAAGATGTACTTTTAGTTCTAAGGAATTTAATATTAAGTCCACAGTAATAAAAATACCTTTTCAGATTACAGGAACACAGAAGACAGATGGGCTCTTAAACTAAAGTATCTCCACATGCATGTATAGAATATTCTGTGCAATACAAAGCTTCACCTTAGCTTGTACTGCAATAACTTTCCCATCTCAATGTGTCCTTAAGAGCATAAAATGAAGGATTTCCCAAGAGCAATTTCAGGCAGTCAATGGAAAGGTCTATTAGGAATTCTCTAATTCTCTAGAATCCTCAGCCCTGCCAGCATGTCCCCTCCTTGGTCCTCAGGACAAGGCATTAAGTACAATGCTGGTTCAAAATCACACCAGTCTGCCTCAACCTTTCCTCCTCCCTCAACAAGGACTCCATTTGCAGGGACCATTAATTTCATAGAGAAAATCACAGTTGGCAAGACTAAAAATATAACTCAGAGCAACTGAGATGACTGCTTTCAGGATCTCTGCAAATCTTTCAGATAACATTCTCAGACAGAAAAATCAAAGAAAAGAGCAAGAAACCTTCAAACTGCTGCTTCCTCAGAAGGTCAATTAATCTCCAGGGTAACTTTAGTTACTTGATTGCTAAAGATCCAGCCACCACCACTGGATTTCAGCCCATTTGATAGGTGCATATCAAAAGTCTTATTCACACTTAAGAATTTAAAGGGAAAAGGACAAAAACTGGAGGAATGAATTACTTTTGGCCACACCTTTCTCCACAACAGCATTAATATCAGCACTTAAAAATGTTGCATCACCACTCTGTAAAGTGTGAACCAAATTGTGCTGGAGTTGATTAATATATCACTAAAAAAATATTAATATTGATACTGAAAGAAATGTCCCAGCAACGTACACAGAACATCATTTCATATCAATTTTTGGAATTGATGGCAAACACTCCAATTTCTCCAGTCCTCCAGGAGCACTGGAACTTATCATGGCAAGGTTTTGTACCTCTGCATTTTCTGCCTTCTTCAAAGCTTCTTTCTCAGCCACTGGCCATGTTTTTAGCTGTTTTTGTAGGTGATGTGCCTCTCAATGGCTCAAAACACTCCTAAGAACTAGAGAGGATTTCTGAAACCAAGTCAAAGGGTCACAGCCTTGCCAAGCCATTAAAAAGATTAGATCTGCTCACAGAAGTGTAAGGACCCACTTTGTCCAGCTGCTCTCATGACTGCTCTATTGTTTCCTGCTTGTGCCTGGAGAGGTTTTAACATTGTTGTTAAATATTTAGGTTAGAAACTCTGACTGCTCTGGAAGAAAGTTGAAAAGCCAGAATTTAAGTAATGCCTAATTTTAGTAGCAAGTGAAAACTTTCATAAAGAAACAATATAATGCCTGCAACTTTAAAATACAAGAGCCAGCTGAAAAAAGACATATTTCAAGGTGGATTTTATGCTTTTTTTTTCTTTTTTTACTGTCAATTTCTTGGGCTAAGTGACTGAAGAACCACAGGCCCTGCAAACCCACTGAAACCATCCAGGAACAAAGCATTTCCCCTGCTGCAGCAGCAGCTCTGTACATGACATCATTTGCTTACAGAAGGCAAATACTTGCCAATTTTAAATAAAACAGGATTCAGTCTGCTGAAAACAGACAGATGTCTACAAGAGTGGCTATTCCTGTGTCTCCACACTAATTCACAGTGCTGTAGGAGCAGCTTCACACAGCTTGCAAGATCCTGCTAGGAGCAGAGCAAAATGAGAGTGCAGGATGTAATAACCTCGTTAGCTGGGACTGCTTCCTAAGAGGGAAAGCTTCCAAGTGCAGCATGTGAAGGGGCATGTTTTATTTCAAGTGATTTAACAGGAAATCTTAGTGCTCCCAGTGCTGTTAAATACTAGCTCACCTATTGTCTCTACTCTCAGGATTAGTTTGTGTGCAGCTTTTTCACCATTCTCATGTTTTGCCACATGCCTGAGTGCCTGGGGACTGCTGGAAAAACAGGAAGAGCAGTGACATTCCCAGAACCTTCAAGAAAGCCCAGCAAGGAATTGGGTTGATAAAGGAGAATTTGGTGAGTGGTTTTTAAAAAGGTGAACACATCCAAAAAAAGCAACAGTAACATTACTTTTTAAAGAAGCTTTCTAGCAAATTCTTTTTATTTTGAAGTCATAAATCACACTGTGATGATGTCTATTTTTTCCCCAAAATAAACTAAAAAAGGTTTACCATGCTGAGCTAACATTTATTTATTAAAAAAATTTAAAACCTGAAACACCAGACTACAAGCAAGCCAACACTTGTACTAAATACCTCTCTTGACATTTCTGTTCATTCCTATAGTTCAATGGAACAATGTTACTGACTTCCTGAGGGGCACAAATTGGAGAAAGTTACTTCCATGAAAACCTAATAAAGAAAAAAAACCTACCTTTCCTGTTGTATCCTCTCCTATTACTCTGCTAAGAGATGCACTATACAAAAGCACATTTTAACTGAACAAAAATTATGGAAATACAAATCTAGTAAATACTTTGGGGCTGCAAAATGAACAGCAATAAATATGTCATTCATCCAGTTTTCTTCTTGGCCTTGATTTCACATTCAGAAGTGAGAAATAATGATCCATTTACAGCTATTATAATTGTTTCCTTAGTAAACCCAGAAACTACAAGCTAAAAACAAACTGAGTAACAGTTTGTTTTTAACAGAGTTAAAGAAAATCTATCTGGTATCTCTGGAGCAGAGTGCAATGCCAGCAAGGCAAGAGCTGATGAGGTTGGAGCCCTTAGGGAGCAGAGAGAAGTAATTACCATCCATGAAATGCTGGGCTATGATGTGGACATTAGGGAAATTGTAGTATGCCATAAATATTTCAATTTGAAGATCATTTGGGGTTTCCCCAAAAGCTTTTGGGCATGAAAACAATCCTGCAAGCCTGCTATAAACAGGAGCACTGACACTAATGAAGGGGTGATCTTCCTACTAATGCAGATGGCACCAGTGCAAGGAAAGTGGGCATTTCTAGGTGCTGCAGACACTCAGCAACAGATATGTCTGCACAGACTCATAAAAGCAGCACTCAAAGGTTTCAGAGCTTACCTGTTTCTGTGCTGATGCTCCCATATGCACCTGGCAAAACTTGACTGCCTGTTCGAGTGCTGCTTCTTCATCCACCTGAACACAGAACCACAACTAATGAAGTCATAATTACTTAGCTCATCTATAAATCTAATTAAATTGAGATGAAATGGGGATGTAGAGCATGGAAGCAGCAGTTCTACAGCAAAATGCTGACCTTAAATTATTCAGGAGCACATCCCCAAAGATAAATACCCAGCTCTCTCAATTCAAACTAACATTTAGCTGAACAAACAGCATGTAAGTGGTACTACAGCTCTTAACTAATTTCAGAAATTTAGTTTTAAAACATGGAGAGTCCTACTCCCTATCCCCAGCAGTGACCTTGTCAAGAGAATGGTTCTTTGGGAAGGTTTTACACAGATAAAGGGCTTGGTTTAGCAATTCCTGTTAGACCCTAAAACCTGAGGCCACAGAGACAAATGCCAATTAATCACACAATACCTGTTTAATCAGCATGTATGTTTCAGACATGATCTTCTCAATTTTGCCCAGGTCATAGGCCATAACTTTCTGGCCCTGCTGCCACACTCGATAAGCATCGAGCAGAAGAGTTTTTCCAGACTCCACATCCTCAAGTAATTTCCTCTTCCTGCTTGACCTCTGGACAGGTTCTTCTGTAGGTGCTGCTTGAATTGTTCCTTTAGCTGCCTGCTGCTGGTGTTTTGAGCTGATGCTGAGCTCCTCCAAGGAAAGTTCTGGAGTCCTGCTCTCGGGAGCCCTGTCCTTGGAGCTCCGGCCGGGCTGCAGCCGCTCCGGCTCGCCGCGCTTACAGGAAGAATCAATTTTGTCAGGGTCATTGGAAAAGCCATCAAGATCCATGGGCTCAGCTGAGCCAAGGCCAGGAAGCTCTTTAATCTCCTTGTCACTCCTGTCCTCCTGCTCCAATATGTCCATAGCATGGGGGATTTGTCCCTGGGTGGCTTCCTTCACTCCATTTTCAGTACCATGCACTGCTCCATCTGACAGAACGGCCTTTTTGGGGAGCACATCCTTCCCCTCTTCAGCACTGCTTTTATTGGACACGTCTGTTGTCATCCTTCCTGAAGCAAGGCTAGAAGACTTGGAACCCTGATCCTCTGAAACCTTAATAAAAGAAATCATTCCTTTCTGTTATCATTGAAATCATAAAGCAGTTGAGCACAGCTGTAACTATCATGAATATTGACCAGTACCTTTCATTACTGCTTCTGCTGAAGAAAATGCATTTATTCTGTGTTCACTCTTTTTTGTTCCTCAATATTAATTAATCCAGGCCACAAATCTTACAATTATAAGTATTTTAATGAGTACAAACAACCATAGAGAAGTGTCAACAGCTCAGGCTGAACCGAAGCCCCAGTGTTTCTTTTCCCTCATGCTAAGGGATCCAACTAAATGAAATCCAAGGTATTAACTGCACAAATTTTTCTTCTAGCATATTGAAATCAAAACCAAATCTGTTTCTTTTGGCAGTTGCAGATCAAGCTCAAGTTTAAGACTCTTTCCTTTCGTTATTCTTACATAACCTTCTTGTTAATAGATCAAGAAGTAGGCAAAACCCTGCTATAGTATTTTACTTTTTGCACCTTTACTTTGGGGGTCTTCCAAAGGTAGAAAACCTCAGTAGATCATCTTTTCTTTCAAAAATGGACAATGATACAACTCTTACATCCAGATTTATGAACAAACTATTTAATATACAGAGTTCCAGTGTTCTTGCCCATGTTTTCATTTAGTTGGTTAAACCTATAGTCTGTTAACTTAGAAAACCCTTAGGAACAAGTTCTTCCTTGAATGTATTTACAAAGCAAAGTTCCAATATCCAGATCCCTTAACCTGGGAACTGATGAGCTTCTGTGTGACTTTTAAAAACTAAATCTAGATTACAATCCTATGTAATCATGAGTGTGGTGCTGTCAAGGACTAGCAGTGAAAGGTGTCTAGGCATGTAACACCAAGCTGTCTGGGTTTGTTTTGCAAGAGGAATCTTAGTTCATTTTAAAAGGAATTTTCCTATAGACCTCACCTGAAAATGGAGAGCTTGAACATTACATGTATCTACCATTAGTTGATGTTTAAGGGACAGTGAGACCAAACTTACTGCAATCTTGCAATCCTTACTGCAAACTGTATTTGTTACTGAAATTCTAAACCAAAAAATCAACAATGCTGGAAGAAAATTTTCTGTGTAGTGGCACATAAACAAAAGGTATTGGGAGTAAGTGCTTATAAATGCAGTCTTTGAATCTCAGGAGATGTAAGGAATGAGTGAACACTGCAAGAGCTAATTACTAAATGAGAGCCATGGAGTGCCCTGCTGCCTCACCTGGGTGAGATCGTTGAGAGTGTCCTCCAGCACCTTCACTGTGAGCACAAAGGCTTGCTGGGCCAGCACCTGGCGATCGGCATCACGCAGGTACTTCCTGTCCCCAGCAAGAGAGAGAAATGAAGTTAGCTGCCAAAAGCTCCCAGCCTCCAAAGCAAGGACCAGGAATGGCTTAGGCTGAAAGGTGCAGCTGGGCTATGAACTCTATTTCCCATCTGTCAGAGCTGGGGCAGTTCTCTGCTGTCCATGGGCAGTTTTTCCTTTATCTCTCCCCCAGCCAATCCTCCCTGCAGGAGATCTCTGCTGTCCATGGCCACTGAGTGTCCCTGCAGGGCTGATCCAATTCCAGCATCCCATGGGGAGATGCTGCATTGCCCAGGGCAGGAGCCAAGCATTCCTACCTGGATCCAATGTGAGCCTGGCACAGCCCAGCAGCCTTTGCCCAGTGCATTGCCAGAGGAGCAGCTTCTGCTGCCCTGCATGGCCAGAGGGAGCCCAGGCCCATCTGCAGCAGCCCTGGAGCTGCAGAGGAAAACTCCCCCCTTGTGCAGGATCCCTGCTCCAGCAGAGCCACAGCTGGCACTGCAGGAGGGCTGAGCCCCCATGGGATGGGGCTGTGCCACCCCCTGACACACAGGGGACAGGGACTGCTCTCACTCTGGCTGTGGTTTGTTTTTCTTTTTTTTGTACTACTGCATTTGTATTTTTAATCTTCCTAGTAGAGAACTGCTATTCCTGCTCCCATATCTTTTCCTGAGAGCCCCTTGATTTAAAAATTATAATAATTTGGAGGGAGGGGGTTTGCATTTTCCATTTCAGGGGAGGCTCCTGCCTCCCTTAACAGACATCTCTCTTTTTTCAAACCAAGACACAGGACATTGAAAGAAAAACAAGAACAAGCCCATACAACAACTTTAAAACATAAGAAACAAACAAAAATCCACAGGTGCATTCTGAAATATAACAATATTGGGATTTAACACTTTAGCTTTGTTTCCCTCCACTTCTACCCTCCCCACAAGATCAGAGATGACAGCTCTGCCTACAACCAGAGGGAAGGGGAGAAATGAGAAAACACCAAGCAACCAAACCCAGAGCAAACCAGACAACCAGATTTACAGTTTTCTTGTATCAAGACTTCTGTGCCCCTCAAATACCAGCTTTTTATTCAATCCTTTTTTTGAAAAAGAATCTTATAGTTACACAAAGCTATGTTGAACTCTCAGGTGATTTTCATGTTCTGGATAAAGCGTGCATGTGAGATTAAGGACATCAGCAAATCCTCTCTCTTTGATCATATCAGTTGCCTTTGAACCCAGGAGTTTTAGTTCTAAAAATCCTGGGTTCATGGGTGTGCTACTACCCTTTTTTTCCCTAGTAAGTATTACAAAAAAAATCATATTTTATGTGTAAAACATTCACTCTACAGCTTCATTTAATTTACTAGAGCACTGTAATTTCAGTGTATTTGGACACAATGTTTTAGTCTGCTTTCAAGCAAAACACTTCCAGCTGTCATTCCCACCTAATCACATTTAATGGAAAACTTAATTTCTATTTCAGAATTAGCTGGTTTGAATGAGAGGCCTAGAAATCAAGTAAATAACTCTGGAGGGTACTATTTCAGTCAAAAGACCAAATTTTAAATACACATATTTCCTCTCTGTGATTTTAGGTTAAATTGGTAATTTTGCTCTCTTTTCTCTGAAAAGCAAACCATAAACATCTGACTCCTCATTAGTTCAGTAATAACTAAAACAACCATGTTTTTAAAAATAGGGTTGTTCCAGGCATATACCAGACACACCCAGAATTATCTGTATTTCTAATTTCCTCTAACAACTGCACCTCACCATGGCTGGCACTGGCTGATCTAACATGTCAAATTATTTGTTTTTTGAATTCAGTCTAGACTTACAAATAACATAATATTTTTAGTACAGCTATGGGTTTGCTTAGGACAGAAACTGAAACCTTCTATGGTTCAGTCCTTCTGACATGTTAAAAGTCAAAGCATTTTTGGCTTCAAGTTTACTGAACAAGGGGTGACATATTCCCAGCCACACTACAATCCATGCAAATTCACATGCACTCACACTCAAAAACACATGAAGAAACCTTCAATGCCTCCAACTTCTTGCCATCAATCATTCATGTTTCATTTCTTAAACATTTGCCAGAGACCAATTTCAACATTTCCCACAGGACAACCTACTAGAATTTTACCTCAGTGTTTTCCTTGGATGTTTATTTTGGTCTTCCCATTGATACGAGTCCATATATAGCTCACACTAATAGCTTCTTTTTTCTTAAATAAGGTTAATGCAATTAAAATTAGATCACCCCTGAACAGGATAAGCTTTTTAAATAGCATCAGCTGCCAAGAGGCACACAGGCATTGTTCAGGACATCAAGGATTACAGGAAGGCAGGATGCTGGGCCCTGACCTCCCGCGCCGCGCGCGCCTCTTACGCAAGGGCCAGCACAGGGTGCCCCAGCCACCCCCTGCTCCTCCAGAGAATCCCTCCACGTGACACAGCACACCTCTGTAAGCCTGCTAGGCACCCCCATGGCTGCTCTGAGTCTCAGCAGAAAGGCAGAGAAACTCCAGGCTACTTTATAGAATCGTCATCTTGAGAAAAATTAACCATGGTTGCCTGTGGGAAATGGATTTGTTGATAGAAAGCTCACACAGTCTTACACATCTGTATGTAAACACTGAGATAAAGTGTGTTGACTTATTATGGAATAGACATGACATTGTTAAGAGAGAGATTGAACTAAAAGCAAGTTTTAATAAGTTTTAAAATAGGGTTTTGTAAAAGGACTAGATATTTTAGAGAATTAGAATTGTGAAAGATCCACTGTAGTAGAACTACGTAGGGAAAAATATAGGTAGTTAGAAATAATAATAGTATTAGAAGTAATAACAGTATCGTGTAGTAAAAGCCAATAAGCTGAAAAACATTTATAAAGTATTGTAATTAAGAAGTTAGTTTTTGATAAAATAGAGTTGAGTTTTATATCTTTTTTGTCTCACTATTCATTGAGACAGATAATAGAATAAAATCTTTAAAACTCCTCTCAGTTACCCCATCTCTGTAAAAGCCAAGAAAACCAACAATTCCACTCTATTCCCAAGGGAATCTGTCTCAAGACTTTTTTCCCTAAACAAAGACCAGCTTTAAATAAAACAGTCATACAGCGACCAAAACCCACTGAAAAGCTTTACAACAAACGGCTTCAAATGAAATAAATCTCTCGTACTTTCCCTGATCAGGGGTCCTCTGCAGCATGGAGGAGACCTTGAGCAGGGTGCTGTAGTCCCTCAGCTGGGAGAGCACGTTGAGCAGCAGCACGATGGAGCGGTTCATATGAGAGGCAAAACTGCCCGGCCGGTCGATCTCATCCACGGGGATGCGCCAGATGCCCTGCGGGGAAAGGAAACTGCAAATGGGGATCACACTGAAAAAATACAGCTGGAGAGGGAAAGGGAACCTTCAAATGGGGATCACACTGAAAAAATACAACCACAGGGGGAAACAGACACTGCAAATGGGGATCACACTGAAAAAACACAACCACAGGGGGAAAGAGACACTGCAAATGGGGATCACACTGAAAAAACACAGCTGGAGGGCGAAAGAGACACTGCAAGTGGGGATCACACTGAAAAAACACAACCACAGGGGGAAACAGACACTGCAAATGGGGATCACACTGAAAAAATACAGCCTGAGGGGAAAGGGACACTGCAAATGGGGATCACACTGAAAAAATACAGCTAGAGGGGAAAGAGACACTGCAAATGGGGATCCAGCTGGAAAAAATATAGCTAGAGGGGAAAGGGAACCTTCAAATGGGGATCCAGCAGGAAAAAATACAGCCTGAGGGGGAAAGAGACACTGCAAATGGGGATCACACTGAAAAAATACAGCCTGAGGGGAAAGGGACACTGCAAATGGGGATCACACTGAAAAATATAGCTAGAGGGGGAAAGGGACACTGCAAATGGGGATCACACTGAAAAAATATAGCTAGAGGGGAAAGGGAACCTTCAAATGGGGATCACACTGAAAAAAATATAGCTAGAGGGGAAAGGGAACCTTCAAATGGGGATCCAGCAGGAAAAAATACAGCCTGAGGGGGAAAGGGAACTTCAAACGGGGATCCAGCAGGGAAAAACCCAGCCTGAGGGAAAAGGGAACTTTCAAATGGGGACCGAGCTGGAAAAACACAGCTTGAGGGGGAAAGGAACTTCAAGTGGGGATCCAGCTGGAAAAAATACAGCCTGAGGGGGAAAGGGAACCTTCAAATGGGGATCCAGCTGGAAAAAACATAACCAGGGGGGGAAAGGGAACTTCAAATGGGGATCCAGAAGGAAAAAACACAGCCTGAGGGGTGAAGGGAATCAATCTCTTCAAATGGGGATCCAGCTGGTAAAAACAGCCACAGGGGGAAAGGGAACCTTCAAATGGGGATCCAGAAGGAAAAAACACAGCCTGAGGGGAAAGGGAACTGCAAATGGGGATCACACTGAAAAAATACAGCCTGAGGGGAAAGGGACACTGCAAATGGGGATCCAGCAGGGAAAAACACAGCCTGAGGGGAAAGGGAATCAATCCCTTCAAATGGGGATCACACTGAAAAAACACAACCACAGGGGGAAAGAGACACTGCAAATGGGGATCACACTGAAAAAATATAGCGAGAGGGGGAAAGGGACACTGCAAATGGGGATCCAGCAGGAAAAAACACAGCCTGAGGGGAAAGGGAACCTTCAAATGGGGATCACACTGAAAAAACACAGCTAGAGGGGGAAAGGGAATTTCAAATGGGGATCCAGCAGGAAAAAATACAGCCTGAGAGGGAAATGAAACCTTCAAATGGGGATCCAGCAGGGAAAAATACAGCCTGAGGGGGAAAGGGAATCAATCCCTTCAAATGGGGATCACACTGGAAAAACACAGCCTGAGGGGGAAAGGGAACCTTCAAATGGGGATCCAGCTGGAAAAAACACAGCCTGAGGGGGAAAGAGACACTGCAAATGGGGATCACACTGAAAAAAATATAGCTAGAGGGGAAAGGGAACCTTCAAATGGGGATCCAGCAGGAAAAAATACAGCCTGAGGGGGAAAGAGACACTGCAAATGGGGATCACACTGAAAAAATATAGCTAGAGGGGGAAAGGGAACCTTCAAATGGGGATCCAGCAGGAAAAAACAACCACAGGGGGAAAGGGAATTTCAAATGGGGATCCAGCAGGGAAAAACACAACCTGAGGGGGAAAGGGAACCTTCAAATGGGGATCCAGCTGGAAAAAACACAGCCTGAGGGAAAAGGGAACTTCAAATGGGGATCCAGATGGAAAAAACACAACCAAACCTTCACAAACAGGGATCCAACTGAAAAAACCACAACTGGAAAAATAAGGGGCAGATTCTGCAGCCTGTGGAATTTCAGAGAGGGACAGGGGAATAAGGGACAGATAAAAGCTGAGCTCCTCCAGACACTGAGATATGGATTAGAAGTCAATTGATTCCTGCCAGCAGCAAGGCTCACAGAAGCCACAGCACACCTTCTAAATATGCTTCTGAACTGTTCCAAGAAACAGCAAGCAAAGCCCAAATTATACTGTGCATTTTTCTTCAGTGTCAATGAACACACCTTACTAAGTCAAAGCTCAACTAACCATAAAAAATAAGGAGTAACCTGAAGTAAGTTTTCCTGGCCTGAAAGCTGTTAATATGCAGTCACAGCAAGTTTCTATCTTCAAATAATCTGTTATTAAATGTTTTAGGAACTTGGTTAGAGCCTTGATGTCATCAGTGTTCACTGTGAACTAACGAGTCCAAAAGGAAGAATTAGATTCCTCAGCAGAAGCCATTTTCTAGTGGCAGATTCAAATACTTGGCCACACATCCTGAACCTTCTAATTAAATTTCTGGGACAAGGGAATCTTTGGGGAGCAAAGCTGGAGGCTGATAGCAAATATAATTGAATTAGGGTTAGTTAGCTCAGATTTTGCCATGTCTAATACATCTACTGAGATTGTTTTCAGGTGTTTATTGTGGATGCTGTCAGCACCCTAGTCAACCACACCTAAAAAAATGAACTGCACATGATACCATGTTTGCATGTTAGGATGGGACTCAGGTTATGATCATTCACAAAAACTGCTGCTGCATCACTGCAAACCCTTCCCTTGTGGTTTATTTGGTTCTGAAGCTTTTCCTGTAGCAGCTTTCTAAGATGAAAATCCTCTGATCACGTAAACAATTTTGTGACAAGGCAGGAAAGAACAGTCTCATTGATAGGAGTACCTGACTGGAAAAGAGTTTGGCTTTCCAAACCTGTTCAGAGAGCAGGATATACAAATATTTACTCCTTTATCTTTGTTTAAAGGTCTTGCTTCGATTTGTTTAGCTTTACTTTCAGTGTGATCAAAACTCTTCAGAACTTAATACAAAGTGGAAGAAAAGAAAATGATTACTGCAACCATAAATGACATTTGACCAGAAAAGCAGATCCATAACCCCCTGTGTAAAATGGACCTTTCCCTCGCATGTCTGCAGAGAATCTCTAGTTCCACTCCATAAGATGTATAGGAACTTAGGAAAAAACAACACAGCAATATCAGAGGTTTAGTATCAGTGTTCTTACATGGAAAACAGTGACTTCAACTGGATATAATGCACAGACTAATCTGCCAAATTTTCTTGCTCTTGCTTTTCCTCGTGCTCTCTACTCTTACTCCCCAGTGATCACAATAAAGCTGTTCTTCCTCTTTGCTCCCTGAAGCTTTCTTTCAAGCCCTTTTTGTAGCTTCCCTTTTCCAGACTGTACCTAAAACAGCACCATGCCCAAGCCCCAGGCACAGGCACTGCCTCCTCCCCTTCCCAGCAGTGTCCACAAACACCTCCCATGGCCTGGTGGCCAAGAGCTCCCACAGATCCTGCAGGGCACAGCTCTGTAAACCAGCACATGCTTCTATTTCAACAGAGATGCTTTTTCTTCCTCCAAACCATACAATGGCTCTCCTTTCAGCCCACAGATGAAACACACATTCTGGAGCTGCTATTTTTTGCTTCTCTGCACGTATGTAAACTGGGTTCCTGCCAAATCCCAAAACAAGTGAATGCCTCATAATGGCACCACATTGCAACAACCTACTTAGCCAATTTAACTACACAAAACAATTTATGGTCAACTCCAGCACACTGTAGGAGTGGAACTCTGCCAATGTGTAGGTAGGTTCCTGGTCTTTTTCAGCATTATCTCATCCTTCATTTGAATCAGGAGGATCACTTGGATCAGATATTGTATCTGGAATTAGCTGGAAATAATTTTGCAGCTCCTTCTCATATATCCCATGTATCCATTTTAATGCTAGCCTGGAAATTACAACAATTTAGTATTAGAGCCATTTTTAATGCCAGAATATACAAACTGCATCCAGAAACCCAGGAAAAAGCCCCTCAGATAGAAACAAAGTTGTATCTTTTGGAGAATGCTGCTGTCTTCCACAACAGGGCACATTAGAAGAGGTTAAAACTCACATTAGGGCTGTCAGGTTTCTCACTGCAATTACAAAAGTAGGACTGATTTTAAAAGGAAAGTCACTAACTTTTCATGTGTTGACTTGCAGCTTCATAAATGCAAAACATCAATAGATAGGGGTCCAATGTTCCACAGGCAGCCTGGAGGCAAAAGCAGAAAGAAACCTGCCACCAGAGCAATCTTCATTCCATCACTGAGATTGTGTTAAGCAATATGCAAAACACTGAGGGGAAAGTGAGTTTATCAGAGCTCATTTTGTGAGTCATATGGAACTTTTAAGACTGTGATTTCAGTCAGAAACTACAGAATGTCTTGTTTAAATCTCTTTCAAAGAGAAAGCCCATCAGGTATTAATTTTTCCTTCCTAAATATCAATAAACTTCAAGAATACTTCCAAATTCAGATCACACACACTGAAACTTTTTTTAAGAAGCTCAGTGTTAGGCTTTTATTACTTTTAACAAAGCTTAAGAGAGGTACAAATGCAAAGTCTGTAAAGATACAAGCGGGGAGAAGACCAGGAACTATTATTCACTTCAACTGAAGTTTTTGTATCATCACTTGAAAATTGAGATTTGTTGGCAAAGTCCACTCACAGAAGAGTGCAGATCCTTGTGCCAACAATTCCCAGTTCTTTGAAAGGTTTTGTAGCTGGTTCTGGCCACTCAGGGTACCTGACAAAACGTCTCCAGCTCTGGGCACAGGAAGGATTTTACATCCAACGCCCGCTCGTGTTTGCTGGCCACCATTGCCACTGCTGAAAGGTTCTCCTCCCTGCAGCCACAGCCAGCAGAGCTGTTTACACCAAACCAGAGGAAGGAGTGAGCCACTTCCAACAAGCCCAAAATGCCTCTCAGGATCCAAAACATCA